TATATATATATATATGCACACTTCATGTTATAACCCAGATTCTTCCCTATGGTGTAATTGTGATAATGTTAATAGTTTTCTTTGTAAAATTGAATCAAAATCTTTAGTTTGGCAAAACTTATGACAGTTATGCACACCTCAGAGCATACATTATTCATGTACAGTTCCATTTTGACTAATTAACAAAGAGAGGTATATCAAGCATAGTATGACTGGCTCCTAACTTGTTTGTGGATTGCCTTCCACTTCTTAAAGTGTGTGACGGAGCCAACTATATGACCATTCTTAGAGGAATTTATAAAATCAGCAGTCTACACATTTAATGTAATCAGTTGCCTAGCTCATGTCAGATTTCACTTGGGAAACTGATATTACACCCACTGTTTTGTGATTCACGCAGTACTACTTCCTTACATGTGTTTTAATGTGGAAAGGACCAGAACTGGACTAGGGATGGGGAAAATATTTTTCTGTTAGGCCCTATTTACAAGCAGGAATGGTAACCCTAGTGCTAGGGTTACCCTAGCAAGAGGGTCAAAGATAACCCGCATTTACAAGCAAAATTTTCAGGCAGGGTTACCCTGTTACCTGGGAGAACTCTGGCCAGTCACGCTTTAGTTAACCTGGTAAATAACATTCATAACTGAAAATAACTTTATTGCCCATACCTTTTTCACTTGAATTTGATAGTTTCTCAGTTTCGTTGAAATCATTTCTATTTCTAAGCTCACTCAAAATCCCTGACAGTAGCAGTGACCGTAGCAACAAACATTATTGCAAAAAATTTTGTTACAAAAAGCCATTATTTGAAATTTGTTCCATCCAAAGAATAACCAAAAGGATTTTGAATGAATACAATCTTTATGAAGTCACAATTTGTTTGTTTTGCCAGTATTATTACCATGTTTTGATTCTTGGAGCCCAATTAAAGTTGTCCTGGGTAGTTGAGTTGTCTCTAGCAGAACATTTGCAAGGTAGGTGGGGTAACCATAGTGCTCAGCTAGGGTTACCCTAGTGCCTGGGTAACCCTACCTCCCTTGTAAACACATCTATGAAAAAAAGAATAATTGTGGGAGTGCTAGGGTAACCGTTTTGCAAGGGTAACCCTAGCAATAGGATTATCCTACCTCCTCATAAACAGGGCCTTAATGTAGAACTGCATCATCGACACTTTGTGATTTCATATATTTAGCTTATTCCACTCCACTTCACAGATGTGTACACAACTTCATTAGTGTCACTCACCGAGCAAAGAAGAGCTGTTTTCTTAACAGTAGCACCCAGTCTTCCAGCTGAGATTATCTCAAATGGAGTGACTTTCTTTCCCCAAGGGATAATTATAACAATGTAAAATGAATGATACCTCATGGGATCTCCTGGATATGCAAGCAGATCACCTCCAAATTTGGCACCAGTTGTTAAGTAATAACCTTTCTCCCAGAGGTCTAAAAATACACGATAATGTAGCTTTTCACTTTCTGTTTGAGGGTATGTCCAACCCACAGAAGGAAATGACTGAAATCTTTGAGGCATTACAGTTGGAATGTGAATTAAAGTTCCCAGTTCTGAAAAAGGCTTTGTTTCTTCATAATTAATATCACTTTTATCTTGAAGCCTATCTTTGGTTTCCTGTTCTTTATAATCTAGAGTTGGAGGCGTCCCTGGGTAATATTCCATAACTTCAGCTCTGCTGCATGTATCCAGATCTCCTTTTGTGGCAATGCTGCCTTCATCACATTTTACATTTAACTGAGTAATCTCTTGTTCCTCCGTGCATTCTTCAGCCTTCTTATTGCTTATTTCTTCGCTTTTCAGTTTTTTTGCGGCGAGGATTTCCTGTCCTGCATTATCACCTTTTTTGCGCTTTCGTTTTCTTCGCCTTCCTTCCTCGATGACTTTCGCTAATTCCAGTCGTTTCTCTTCCCGTCCTCTTTGAAACAATTCAATTTGCTTAACCACGCTATCACGACGTAGCTCATTAAACGTTTCAACTTCCTCCTTTGACGGAGCAGGGAAACTTTTCGGCGTATTACAGATTCTTGCCAGTCCTTTGTGAAGCAACAGCGTGGCCTCGTCTTCCGAAAGGAGAAGCGGCAAGGAGAAACAGTGATTTTGCCTCGGTCTTTGGGGGAACGAGCCGATCAAAGAGCCGACTATGCGATATTTTGAACGTATCTTAAGCGCATCGTCTGCGTTCCAAACGAAAACTTTACCGAAACGAGAAAATAAATTTAGAGGGGTTTCTTCCATTTCGTCCGCCATATTGGATTTTCCAGTTTCATTAAAACTCCGCAGAGCCAAACTATAACAATTGCGGGCGCGGCGACTGCAAGTTCTTCTTTCGGCCGATCGACCGAACCCGACTACGACTTAGCATACCGACACGCGCCCGCCAGAAACCTATTGTTCAAAACCTGGACAAAAAACAAACAAAGAAGCAAATTAAAAATACCTTGCCAGAAAGGTTCGGGGAGGGGGGGGGAGCTTTTTACCTGCATGCCAGAGGATGATAATAAGGCCTCTTTTGTTACCCTAGCCGAGAGAATCCTAATCGTTTCAAGGAGTTGGTTTAATTTATTTTATAAATAATTCTGGTCGGAGCAGATATGACCATGCATCAGCAGACATACAGTCTTCTTTCCGCTCCCTGTACTGTACTGTGGCAGGAGCCCTCTACTGACATGACTGTAGCTGTCAGTAAATTAATTGAGCTGGATTTCAACGGCGATAAGACAAAAAGCCACCAATCAAAACAGAACAAGTATCGATAAATCAATTAAAAAAACAAAAACAAAAGCAGTCTCTACGTAGCTCTGGATTTTCTAATATTTTCGCCTAAATCCACAATAAGTGGTTACTAAAGGCAGATCTAGTGGTAAAAAAAGGCGTCAAAGAGAAAAAGGTCAAGATGAGCTCTCTTAATTTCGACTGTGAAAAGTCGTGCCGCGGCAAAACGTTTGAGGGTTGGCCCTTCGTGCCTTTGAACCCGTGTACTACTAAAGCCGATGACAGTAAATAGTAGTGTAGTGGGGCTAAAAATGTTGCACATCCAATCCTTGCCAGCTCTTTTCCATAAGGTTTCTTTAAGCATTCCCCGGATATCACCGCCCTAAGTTATAGCCCCACCCAGATTCCCTTACAAAGCTATGGGCTTCGCAGCATGCTGAAGTTTACAAATGTCCCTCTTGAATCATGCGTGAATTTCGTGTCAGAAACTGCAAAAATTGTCAAACCGTTCAACTGATTTAAGACATGCTTTGCCGCTCACGCGTTCGGCCGTCTCCTCTCGGGAAGGAGCGTAGACCGGACGAAAAAGAGCGGCGGAAATCGAGAAAGGGGAGGGGGGGTGGGTGGGGACGGGTGTTGGGTGCTTGACACGACCCCATACAAGGAAAAATCGCTTTAAAACAGCTTTTCTTCGAAGGAACCTCAAACCACTTGTCCCGCAGGTTACAAACTCGACAACACGAAAAAAACAGTCTAACTCTTCATGGCCTTTATTGACGATATCATTTCCGATCAAATTAAGAAATTTTGCTAAACATGTTAACAAGCAAAGCAAAGCAAAGCAAGGCAAACATGTTTCACAAATTGCTGTCGTGCATAAAATTATTCGAAGTATTTTCAACACATAACGTGTTTTGTCAGATCCATAAGTGAATAAAACTGACCAGTAGCTCCTTTGGATCACTGTAGTGTTAAAATAAAGCCGAAGCAAGCGTGACCCTAGGAGAAAGTGTGACCCTGGCAGGAGAAAGCGTGACCTGAACGCGAAGTCCGCCTATAAGTCAGGAAAAAGAGTGATCCAAACGGGGGAAGCTTCACTGCATGTCAAGGCCAGAACGACGCGGGAAAATCCTTATTTCAGTTCCTCTTTCTACTCTTTTTTCCTCACAACTACGAATCCGCTTTTTATCTTTAGCATTAAATAGTCTGTTCTTCATCTCAAAAATCGTATATTCGTTGTTTTGCTCCTTACTCTTGTAAATGATGATAACTTAAGCCTTGATTTCTAACTCCGTAAAACTGTAAGCAACAACATCAGCTACTTAAAGTTAACGAAAACCGAACGCATTGACAATTCGTAAATTTAAATGGCACTAATCAAGAAATATGCGCAAAACGTTTGTTGTTA